AGCGCGTATCGAGTTTGCTCCGGTCGGTTGCTTTTTTCCCTGCATGTCCCTTTAGGCTTGAAGCAGTGACCAAGATTCTAACGCTAGGGGTTTGTCTTTCCCCTGTGTTTTAATCTTGGTTGAATCTTCGGCCGCGTGGCCATTTCTGCTTCAAGCCTTTTGGTAAGGGACATGCCTGGAGGGTTTGACCCCTCTTTCGTCTTTTTTGAACCCACCCTCCCACCCACCACTCCCACCCTTTCACGGCCCATCCAGCATCTTCCACCTGATTGAGGGGCGCATGCACCCGCACGAATGGACGCTTGTTAGCTTCCAACATTTCGTTGGCTTGCTGCTTCTCGCTGCTCCCGCAGGACCATTTCGAGCATACGCAGCTAGGCCCACGCTGTGCACGCAATCGCACATTATCGAATGCCATCGGCATTCTGTCCGGCCCGGTCTGACTTGCAGGAGGACGCATCCTTTGCACACTTCAAGCATGTTGTCGGCTTACTGATCCCGCAGGACCAGTTTAAGCCTATGCAGTGAGGACGCATTCCTCGTTGGCCACACCAGTTTGAACCCATGCTGTGCGCGCAGTCGCACATCGCTGAATGCCATCGGCATTCTGTCGGACCAGGCTGGTCCCCTTCAGGAGGACGCACTCCTCCCGTGCGCACCTATGCACGCATTGCATACCGATGTGCAAAATACCTCCTATTTGTCTCACACCCCATGGGTAAAACACCCTGTGTGATGGTCGAACACGCAATGTTGACCACAGGGGGTATTCCGACAGGCTCCGCATGAGATGCAGGAAGATGGAGTGGACGCGCATCGTCACTCCACCTGCATCTCAGAGCCTGCACTTCTAAGCAACGCTCAAGTAAAAAAGCGCGTATCGAGTTTGCTCCGGTCGGTTGCTTTTTTCCCTGCATGTCCCTTTAGGCTTGAAGCAGTGACCAAGATTCTAACGCGGATAACGGAGAGGAGGGTTGCGACATGTTCGGAATCTGCGGGTGTTTGAGCAGCCTGATGCAAGGTTGTATGCAATGCCGGTCAGGTCAATCGGGTCTGGTGGGTGCCTGTCTGAAATGCGAGTCTGAGAATGCAAGTCTAACTGCGTAATTTGGTCAGGGTGCGGTTGTCGCGGTAAGTGTCACGATGCATGTCCAAGTCAGGTAGGTAAAGGTCATCGGAAAAAATTGTTGAAATCTGCGGTAAGAGCCAAGGTTCCCATTTGCATTTTGCGGCATGTATGCGCGCGTGCGTGCGTGTGTGCGTGCGTGCGTACGTGGGTGCGTACGTGGGTGCGTGCGTGGGTTCGTGCGTGGGTGTGTGTGCGCGCACCCCCTTTTTCTAAGGGGCTCTTTTTTGATGCGGTCTTTTGCTCTTGGATGTTTCCTGTTCGGAGTCGGCGGGCACCTTGGTATCATCTGGCTTCTGAGTACCTGGATGGAGGATGCCCGTCCTGATGAGGCCCGTCCAGCGAAAGGATGACCAGACTTACCAAGCCGAAACTCCCTGTGCTCCTGGGCGGTTGCAATCCGCAGCTGGAGGCAAACCCTTCTCAGTTGCAAGTGCCGTTTCGTTTGCGAGCGCAGCTTCTGGGCGCTTTATTTTACGGTATTCTCTCATCAAGTGTGTGGCGGCCCTGGGTCCGGGCTCCGGGTCGGGAACCCTACTTGGCCACGATGACTTTTACTTTTACAGCTTGTTTTGAGGGCTGTGGCGCGCCCCTTAGCAAATCAGCGCGCCCCTGCTTTCGTCCAGCCATCCTGCGCTCTCAGCAAGGGCGAGCGCTTGTTGGACCACAGCCGCCGCCCAGCCCTGCCGGCCGCGCACCGCTGAAGACCAAGCCAAGCCAACTCGGGGCAATGAGCCCCCTTGCGCGCTCGCCGTCAAAATAGCTGCGCGTGGCTGCGGGCGACCAACGCAGCGCGACATGCATATCCAGCTCCGCTGTCTTTCGGAGAGCGCGGCAACCCTACCTAAAGGGCACGCGGCCGACATGTTCTGCGGCAATCAAAGACGTTTCCACGGACCTTCTGCATTACAAGCTCCAGTTGCGAAAGCTGAGCCAAGCAAGTGCGAGGAAACTGCGCGACGAGGGAAAAAACGCGAAAAACCAGTCATTGCCAGCCCCCGCCGCATGCCAAGCATAATGGCTTTCAACAAATGTTTTACGCAGGCCTATTGTTTGTAAGAGCCTGAGCGGGGAGGGCGTTTTGCAGTCGGGCCAGGATGAAGTATGAAGGTTCTGCGTTTTTCCGGTTACGCGCGCGGTGCCATAGAAAACTGAATGCCCCAAAACTGGTGAGAGACCGCTTTTTTCCGCATTGGGTAATAAAACATGGAGTTTTCAAAGAGCAACTCATGTGTTTCCTCTCCTTGCAAGACAGCGTCATATGCCGCTTTGGCTTTATGTAGCCAACATCACCTCGACATCCACCGTTTATCTTTATCTACTAGAAGGTTTCGCTGCCCCAGTTCGTTAGTGGGCGCTGGCAGTTCGTTAGTGGGCGCTGGCAACTGGTTCAGAACGCCATCATTCGCGTTTGTGAATCCCAACTCGAGCGGATTTCCACCCCCACACAACCCACAGAACCTGAGCTGGCTTTACGTATATAGTCCACTTGGGGGGCTGTTTACTGGGGATATTCACCACTTAATTGAAAGGTCATCCAAGTCCCCCAATGGTATCCATTTCAAATTCTGGCATCGTGAAACGGATGAAACATTGGAGGTAAAGCGTTGGCGTCCAACTCAAACAGTAAAACATTCACGAGGTGGCCCCCGCTGTAAACCAAAAGTTCTGGCTTGTTTTGGGAGAAGTTCTGGACGCAGCGGCAGGGCCTTCCTTGAAAGGCAAGCAAGGCAACATCTGCATCCACACCCGCGCCTTCGAAGCCAAGTAAGGCACGGGCGATCAAACCTTCGATCCTTGAAAGCCAAGTAAGGCAAATTTTGCAACGATACCTCCGAACGTGTGAAGCCAAGTAAGGCAAAACTTGCAGCCACACCTTCGAGGCCAAACAAGCAAGCTTTGCAGTAAAGTTAAACTAGGGCTAATAAATGCCCACTTACTCATTGAGCCGGCAGATGCGATTTCGACGCCACGTTCTCGGCCGCGATCAAAACCACATTCCCCCTGGCACCGCGTTCCCCCCTGACGCCGCGTTCCCGCCTGACGCCGCGTTCCCCCTTGACGCCGCATTGCCCTGTGACGCCGCTTTCCTTTGCGACACCACATTTCCCTGTGACGCCGGATTCCCTGTGACGCCACCTTCCCCGGCGACGCCGCGCGCAGGCGCTGCGTTTTTAGCCTGCTTTTCGAACGCTGGGGGAATACGCTGCGCCAGGGTTGGTTTCTTCGTGGGGACGCTGCAGGGCTGTAATCCTGCTCTTCCTGAAAATTTATTTGCTGGTCGCTTGATGCCGGATTCTGGTCTGTTGGACTTTGTGACAGTTGTTGGCGCTGAAGCCTGACGCAGGGCTGGGCTATGTCGGGGTTGGGGACGGCCAATTCAGCCGTGTGTCGGCTTCAGACCGGAGGAGAATGTTGTGTGGAATGCGTCTTTAGCGTCAGCCCCCCCATTCCAGGCGACTAAGCAAAGGTTAGCCCGCATGCTGCTTATATATAGTTGCGTAGGGCAGAGCAACATCCAGGTAATATGTTTTTTCGTCAACGTGTCCTTGTTCTTGTTTTCTTGGTAGCCTGCCAAGATCTTGCGTGAGCTTGCGAAAAGGGGAAAGGCTGCAGGTGTCCCTTAAAAGCCAAACATGTATTCAATGTCTTGCTTGTCCAAAGAGCCCAGGAAAGGAATCTTAAAGAAATGCGCTTTGTGCTCGCGCTTCCAGCTTTTTGCGGACGCACAGGTTGTAGCGCAGGCGCTCTCCACGCAGTTTCGTGTGTGTGTGTGTGTGTGTGCGTTGCGCGTGTGCGTTGTGTGTGCGTGCGTGTGTGTGCATGTGCGTGCGTGTGTGTGCGGTGTGTGTATGTGTGTGGTGTGTGGGTGTGGGCGTGTGTGTGTGTGCGTGTGTGTGTGTGTGTGTGTGTGTGTGTGTGTGTGTGTGTGTGTGTGTGTGGGTGCGTTCGTGCGTGTGTGCGTGCGTGCGTGCGTGCGTGCGTGCGTGCGTGGGTGTTTGTGTGTGTGTGTGTGTGGGTGCGTGCGTGCGTGCGTGCGTGCGTTGTATGCGCATGTGCGTGCTTGTGTGCGGTGTGTATGTGTGGGTGCGTGCGTGCGTGCGTGCGTGCGTGCGTGCGTGCGGATGTGTGTTTGTGGGTGTGCGTGCGTCCGTGCGTGCGTGCGTGCGTCTGTGTGTGTGTGGGTGCGGGTGTGGGTGTGGGTGTAGGTGTAGGTGTGTGTGTGTGTGTGTGTGTGTGTGTGTGTGTGTGTGTGTGTGTGTGTGTGTGTGTGTGTGTGTGTGTGTGTGTGTGTGTGTGTGTGTGTGTGTGTGTGTGTGTGTGTGTGTGGGGGTGGTTAGGGGTGGGGGTGGGGGCTGCGTGTGCGTGTGCGTTTATGTGTATGTGTATGTGTATGTGTAAGTGTATGTGTATGTGTATGTGTATGTGTATGTGTATGTGTATGTGTATGTGTATGTGTATGTGTATGTGTATGTGTATGTGTATGTGTGTGTGTGTATGTGTGTGTGTGTGTGTGTGTGTGTTAGTGTTTGTGTCTGTGTGTATGTTGCGCTCAAGGCATAGCTCAAGCAGCGGACGCGGTTTTCGTGATAGCTTGGGGGGCCAACTAAGCGACAGGGGAATTCCTACGAGTTCTGAGAGTAAGCTGCCTTGGCTTAGCTTTGTGCTTGTCACCCACGCCCGTCTTGTGCCCCACAACCTTCCATGCTGAGCATTTCGGGGGCTCAAAAAGTCTCAGGCCGCCGAGGCTTTAGCTTGTGAGAAATCCGGTTCATGCTGCTATCAGAAAACGTGCCCATAATCTATGGTCATTCCAGCCACCCTTGATGGAGAAAGCGATCTCAGTAACTACTGGCAGTCGTTTGGCGCCTCATGACACCACCCGGGGTATGGGGATATCTCATGAATTTAATAAGAGAACATTACGAATGCCGAATAATTAGAGCCCATGGCGCGGCCTGCTCTAGCTGCCGTGGCCCATGCAGTTTTGGTGGCAATAATTGCTGGCGCTCCACTGCAAGATGCATGTCCCACGGATACTCTGGAGCCTTGTTCCACAGAGCTTCTTCAGGTGAAGCTTGTGATTGAGCAGGCCATGCCAGAGTCAATCTTGTTTGTAAAGACCCACAGGACAGGCTCCAGTACGCTTACCAACATCCTCCAGCGCTTGGGGGAGAAGCGACACATGCTATTCCTGCTACCGAGTGACTTACATCACCTAGGTTGGCCTTCCATGTTCCCAGGCATTGAGACTGAGACCATGGTGGGTCCCCCTGAGCACCAGTATGAGGTCATATGCAACCATGCGGTTTTTAATGATGAAAAGATGAGGTCTTACCTGAAGCCTCATGCCTTTGCCTTCACCGTCCTGCGATCGCCTCTAGACCAAATCAGGAGCGCTTTGGATCATTATCAAGATAACCCTGGCTGGATGTGGGGTTTGCCAGAGACGAACCGATCAAGCTGGGACGAGCGCATCAGGTTCTTGAGGCTTTTGCAGGAGACGCCTCACAAGTTCTCATCGGAAGATTTGGGGCGATACAGGAACCCTCAGGCGCATGACTTGGGATACTATGAGTTCTCGCAACTTCAAATTGCAAGTTGGGATGTTCAGTCATGGGTTGCAGGTCTGTCAAGAAACCTCAGCTACGTCATGCTCACAGAGTACTACAATGAAGGCCTGGTTTTGCTTCGCCACAAGTTGGACCTGGCAATCGAAGACATTGTGTACATTGTGAAGAACGCGGCAGGTTCTAGAGGTTCAAGCTTCGAGCCAGTGCCCCCGGTGACGGTTTCGCAGGATGCAGAACTGAGGGCTCTTCTTGAAGCCGACATTGCCTTGTATGAGCACTTCAACCGAACTTTCTGGGCAGAGTGGGAGAAGGCTGGAGGATACGCAAAACTTGGTGCAGAGCTCGACCAGCTCAAGGCTGCGCACTCTGCCATGGAAGTGGCATGTGCTCAGGGCGCAGAAAGCTGCAGCTGGAGGTTCCGGGCGAGCAGTGAGTACTATGCGGAACACCTGATGCAGATCCAGCCAACGGGCTTACAGAACATGACTCAAGCAGCCTCCACCAGGCGCTTGCTCAGCCCCCGCAAGTTCGGGCTCACATTCAAGCATTTGGCAAAAGCAGGCGGCACTTTCATCCAGCAAGTGCTTGAAGCGGTGATCCCGGGAGACCTGTTGCTCATTAGAAATGAAACTCAATCACTTCATCCCTCTGTCACTGAGGGCCGCTTTGTCCTAGGCTCGGTCCGCAATCCTTTCGACTGGTATCCGAGCATTTGGGCGCACATGATGTGCGATAAGTGTGAATGGGGGCAGAGCTGCTACATGGCAGCTTTGCCAGCTGATGAGAGGATGACAGTTGTCCCTGCCCACAGGGACCCGCCGTATGACACGCCTGGTGACATTGCCAGATTCCGCAGGTTCTTGAACATCACATCGGCAAGGGATATGAACGTGCTCTCCTTGCGATTTTGGGCGGGGTTTGTTCGTGGCCGAGAAGAGTCTGGTGGTCATGTACACATAGCTGATCGCTCAACACCGAAGGCATGGAGGGTCTTTCAAGGGGACGGTCTGCTTTGTGTCGCACAGGCAATCTTGAATTCCGATTGGGGGTGATGCAGTGTTTTCTCGCGGCGCGCCTTTTTGATGTTAGACGCTTTCTGCGGTTTGGACCTGCTTGCCCTTCGATAATTTTCAGCAACTTCTCAGCAGCGATTCGTTTCCATGTGTTTACTTTGCTTGGCAGTGAGCCAGTGGAGCCTTCGGGCCAGCGCAAACTATACAAGAAAACAACAAAGGGTCGCCAAACACATATTCCCAATAGGCGTCGAGATAAGTCAGGCTTGCTTGAGATACGACTTTCCTGCGAGCAACGGCGTGGAAGGGTGCAGCACAGCGAGCTTGATTGCGACAACCTACTTGAGCGTTGCAACCGCTGTTTCTATCAAGCCGTATACAAGTGATGTTGCAGCAAATCCGTTTCGTGCATCGCCTTTTTTTGTTTAGTCAGTCTTTTGGTTGAAAGCTGGCACAAGCAATGGGGCGGCCCAGAAATTGCTGACCATCCTTGGCTACTCAAGGAGCGCACCTCTGAGTTCCATTGGGTCATATCGGGCAGAAGTCTGCAGCAAGCACGGCTGTGTTTTGAGCGTGTAGACACTTCTGCTGTGCGTCGAAGTAGGCCCTGTAGGCACAATGGTGGGCGGCGCGTTTGGGCTGGGTTTTAGGTTGGCCTTCTCATCTCAAATTATTGTCCCATGTTTTGAGAAACGCGCGTGCGCTGGTTTTAATCACTTGCAACATCAAGCCCTGACGCGAGAAGCAGGCAGAAAAGCATGAGAGAAGCAACGAAACTGAGCTGGTCCCCAACACCGTGATACTTTGAGTAGGTTTCAAAAAGAAAGACCGGCCAAAGCCCCGAATCCACGCCTGGAAGCAAAGCACCGTAATTCAGAGGAATGCCGTGCATGCCCTGAAAAGCGGAAGGTCTACATCGACGAGGAGATGACTGACGCAGAGAGGAAGCAAGTGTTTGAGGAGATGGCGGCTTATGATCCCAACAACTCTTCGGTGTCATGCTGGATAAAGGTGGAATCCCTGCAAGAGGATCTGGTTCGGTGCCTGCAGCTCTATGACCAGCAAGGAGGCACGGTGCATTGGGACATGCTTGCAGCAGCAATGGCAAGTAGCACCCACTACGAGAGTGAGCATGGTCTTTGTGGGATCTATTATGATGCCGAGACACGTGCATTGGTCCAGCATGGCGACTCTACCATATTTGACTCATTCGGATATGCCCGTCATTGCAGCGATGAAGACTCAGCGTCTCCATTGAACAGCATTTCCCAATTAGGAGCGTTTCACCTTGTCTCTGGATGTGAGGGCTCTGGCACGACGATGCTCACGAAGGTTCTCTGTCATGACGAGAACGTCTTTTGCATTCCAACCAATTGGCGCCTCAGTGAGCTCAGCCCTGCGGCGCAGAAGAAGTACCTTGACGCAGGTTTGAGCGAAGAAATGCTGGATGTGGATTGGATGGCCATTGAACATGGTCAGGAGGAATCTCCCAAAGGCATCGGCCAAGAGATCGTTGCGTTCAATGCGGCGATGAAGGAGCTGTGGCATGATGTCAAGGGCCGGCCTTACATCCAACATGGCAAAGATCTTCGAGACCCCAGCAAGAAAATGCATTATGTTCGCAAAGCTGCTACAGCTGCTCAAGCGCTTCTCACAGCTGCTCGGCGCTGCAATATCACTAGCATTGTCT